TATGCTGAGCGAAATAAGTCAGGCAGAGAAGGACAAATATCATATGTTTGCACGTATAGGAGGATTAGGAGGAACTTGACGGAGGAACAAGCGGGAGAAGAAGGGGGGAAATGGTGGGGGAAAGGGAGAGAGGCAAACCATGAGAGACTCTTGAATGCTGACAAAAACTGAGGACTGATGGATGTGGGGGGGAGGGGGGGATGGGCATGGAGGAGGGCACTTTGGGGATGAGCACTGAGTGTTATGTAGAAACTAATTTGACAATAAACTATTTGTAAAAAAAAAAAAAAAAAAAAAAAAAGAATTTGTTCTATCAACAGATAGCTTTTGACTATATTTTATTTCTTTATTTTTTTTAAGTTTATTCATTTATTGTTTCTGGTGGGGAAGGGAGAGGGAGCGGCACAAGTGGGGGAGGGTAGAAAGAGAGAGGAAACGAAAAACCAAAGCAGGCTCCAGGCTCTGAGCTGTCAGCACAGAGCCTCATATGGGACTCAAACCCAGAAACTGCCAGGTCATGACCTGAGCTGAAGTTGGACGCACAACCAACTGAGCCACCCACCCATGCACCCCTATATTTTATACTTTCAGAGTTTGTAAGAAGGATGTAGTGGAAGAGACAGCAATGTAAATAGTTGCTGTTATAATGGATTGTTTTAAACACATTTATTGAATGTGTGAACTGTATTAATGTAACAAAAGGTCTTTTGTTCAGGACTGCTTTACATACATCATAATCATTTTTGTTAAGTGCCTTTACCTTATCTTTTATCTCCCATAATATATTTTGTAACTTTTTATTTTGACTCAATTTCAGACTTAGAAAATTTGCAAAAATTGTGCAAAGAATCCCTGCATATTCTTCTTCTAGATTTTTTTCTTCTTCTAGATTTTTTAATTATCAACATCTCATCGTATTTGTGTGTGCATTTCTCTCTCTCTCCCCTTTCTCCTTTCCCACTCTCCTCCCTGTAACTACATATTTTGGTTTTTTTTGGACTGTTGGTAAGTTATGTGAATGATGCCTCTTTATCCAAATGTACTTCAGTGTGCATTTCCTTAGAAAATCACAGGATAACTATCAAAATCAGGAATGTAACAATGATACAATACTGTTGTCTAACTTACAGATCTTATTCAGATTTTTCACTTTCCCAATAATATCCTTTATAGCAAAAGAAAATCTTTGACAATTGTTTTCATTCACGTGTCATGTTTCTGTAGCTTTCTTTAAAATGGAATATGTGCATTTCAGTCTTTTTAGTCCTTCATGACGTTGATGTTTTCGAAGAGTATAAGCATACTCTTTTATATATTGTCCCTTAATTTTGGTTTGTCTTCTGTTTCCTTGTGATCTATAATATTTTTAAATGAGTATCATGTGACGACACTGAATCCAGGAGTATTAATATTTGGCTTATGTTTTGCCAAACTGGATCATTTTGCCCGTGTAACAAAGGACATGAAATTTTGTATTTTTCTAGTTTTGTATTTGTCTAATGCTGTTAAAGTGCTCTAATTCATAAAACAATGAGCCTCACAGAGAGAGACTGTAGCGAATTTCAAAATAAATGCGCCTAGGTGGCTCAGTTGGTTAAGCATCCAATTTAGGCTCCAGTCATGATCTCGCAGTTCCTGAGTTCGAGCCCCACATCAGGTGCCTGCTGACACCTCAGAGCCTGGAGCCTGCTTTGGAAGGCAGCTATGCTCACCACTCTACCACCAACGCAGACTTGGAGCCTGCTTTGAATTCTGTGTCTCCCTCTCTCTCTGCCCCTAACCAACTTGTGCTCTCTGTATCTTTGTCTCTCTTGTCTCTCTTTCTCTCTCAAAAATAAACATTTTAAAAAAAGAATAAATACAGATGTGGAATAGTAATAAAATAATTTCCATAGAAAAAATATAAAAATGTAAGCATTTTAAACAGAACTGAACATGGCTAATTAATATATTGTGTTCAGCACATATTTGTATTGAGATTTGATGTTAAGAAATCTAAGGATATAAGCGAGTTTTAGCTTCATTACCATCTTTGGCATAAATTTATTTCATTTTAGTAAAGTGGTAGGTATACAAGAGGCATTAAGGGGCAGTGCTGAAGTCTTGTTCTTATTCCATGAAAATTTTAAAGTTTATTTTCATTCATGATATGTTGAGAACTTCTGAAAAGTACAGTGGGTATTATTAAGTAGTAATTCACAAATACTTCTTTAAAGCATTGTCCTGTTAATTTATGTTGCCATTTGTTGACAAACTCATATTGCTTTGTTCTTGTCTCTTGTTAACAAAGGGGTTGTTTATCTATTTATTAGGTGTCCCATTCCCAAAGAATTTCATGTCTGTGGCAAAAACTATACTCAAACGCCTCTTTAGGGTTTATGCTCACATTTATCATCAGCATTTCGATCCTGTAATCCAACTTCAGGAGGAAGCACATCTCAATACATCTTTCAAGCACTTTATTTTTTTTGTCCAGGTAAGTTGGATTAGGAGACTTTTTTTTTCTTAAAGAGTTTTGTTTTTCTTTTTAATGTTTATTTATTTCTGAGAGAGAGACAGTGTGAGTGGGGGAGGGTCAGAGAGAGAGGGAGACACAGAATCTGAAGCAGGCTCCAGGCTCTGAGCTCTTAGCACAGAGCCCGACTCGGGGCTTGAACTCACAAACTGTCAGATCTTGACCTGAGCTGAAGTTGGACACTGAACTGACTGAGCCACCCAGGTGCCCCAGGAGGTCGTTTTTCCTCAGTAAAACCAGTTATGTGCAGAATTCCAAGGTGAATACTGCACCTATACTGTTAGGATAAAATTTGCCATATCTCTCTAGTCTTTATCCTCTCCTGTACTTGCCATGATGATAAGGCCTTTTGTTTCTGAATCCTGTTCATGTCCAGGTTGGTGGCATGGAAGTCTAAAATGGATCTGAGAGGTCTTACCTTGGCTTTGCTTCAGTTAACAGGCCATAACGGAGGGCCCGAATTAGGAATCTGGCTAGTTGGCAGTCCTGTAGACGCACTTGGTCCCTTTACCATTTTAGCATTCCTCCTGATCCTCTTAACCCTCAATTCCTGTCTACCCTGGGTCTTTTTTTTTAAGCATATTCTGGCCTGGAAATGGGCTTTGTATATAACACCTTTCCCCCCTCCTTTTTAAAACCATATGCTGAATAATTTTTAAGTTAGGTGTTATTCATTATGTCCAGAAGAGGAAAAAACGCCCACAAGAGTGTTGCTGTTCCAGAAGTCCATTAGTCTTTTTTTCGGACTCTGGCTGACCTCCTCTTCCTTCTCCCTTTAGTTCTCAGGGGTGTAGACTAAGAAGAGTCCTATAGTCTCATCGTGCTATAATAACTAGACAGCAAATAGGCAGGAGTCAAAAAGAGGTAGAAATGGTTAAGCCGACTGGTGTTTTTTTTGTTTTTGTTTTTGTTTTGTGAGAGGATAGATGGTAGGCAGAAGTTCAAGTCTTAAATCTGTGGGGTTTTTTTGTGTATCTGTGGGCATATACTTATAAATGCCCTCCCCTCACCCCATCTCCACTGAAGAAAAATGTGTCTATTTTCCTTCTCTACATACCTCTCACACTGAAAGCACACATTTCATTTCACCTATATACACATTTTAGATCATAACCTGCCAACACTGTTGCTCAGAGGAGTTATTTTACCATGAGATCCTATCTATAGACACCTATAGAAAAAAAGAAAATGTTATCCCAAAGTTTACTTCTGTGTTTCGATTTAGACAGAAAAGGATTGCTAATGTTCATGTTTTAGTGATTTAGGAGAAGATATTCTACCTCGAGAAGGGTTAGTTTTATCCTACTATCTTATCTGAAAATACAATGTTATCTCTCAACTGCTAGCAAATAGTAACAGGTTGATACATAGCATTTACCACATCTGGGCCTATTTACATTTCAATACACTGTGACCGACCTTCTTAAAGGTAGTTCCATTAGTATACAGTCACCCCTTGTTGGAGTTAGGGGCCGCCTCTGCCCTAGACCTCACTGTTTAGTGAGTCCTATTCTGGCCCTTCTCCAGCTGTACTCCCACAGAGTAAGGGACCCACAGGGCAAAGAATATACCTCCCAGATCCCTCTGGTTTGTGCTCTGGTACCTGACATCTCAATTTCCTTTCCACACGGTCCCAGTTATATTTCCAAGTTCTGCATAGATCTTTTCCTTGGGTCTATTCTTTCAAGGTATGGTCGTGTCTCTGATATGTACACCTCTGGATCTTAGGAGTAGCCAGATGGCAGCAGTTTGTGAAGGTGTGTGACCATGGCTACATAAACCAGCCAGGGTGTCCATACTTCTGCAAAGGAGGCTCCTTGAAGTTCAGGGTAGAGCTGGGAGTTGGAAGATCAGGGAGGTTTGCTGAGAGTCAGGGATAGGCTCTCTTCATGTCACCCCTTTCCAGTGCAGAATCCTGAGGAATCTTGAGAATTCTAAATTTGAATCCGCTTTCCTGGTCGCTTTGAAGGTATATTTGTTAAGGTAGGAGGATAGAACATGTATGTAAAAGTTAATAGTCCTATGCTGTATATCCATTTGTGTCCTTAGTCGAGATCCCCCAAATCTTAGGGGTAGGCTTGCTTTTAAATGCTACTAATGCTTCCGCTCAGTACTTACTGTAATGGTTGGCATATGATCATCGCAAGAAATGAAATGGGGAGCTCAGAATGCCCGACCATGGCAGAGTATGAGAAGATCAGAAGTATGGACAGCCTATATTTATTTAGCCTTACAGTGTTATAGTTCTGGGTAAATCTATTCAGAATTGAAGCTCAGAATGACAGGAGTGGAATTTCTAAAGAAGCAAAAATTAAATCCAGGCTTTCTAATTTGTTTCTTATAGGATTTTATTGATTATCTGTGGACTCCACATTTTTTTGTTACTCTCATACTACATCTCATGATAGCTTGCAGATGTTAACTCTTTTACTCTTCATATAATGCTGAAATTTGCATGAGATGCTAGATTTTTTGGTCTCCACTTGTTTGACTATATCTAAATGGTTATTCCCTTTTAACAGGAAGCAGCACTCTCATTTATTGAGTATTCACTTTATGCTAGGAATTACATGAAGTGGTTAACATATAGTATTGCATTTAGTCCCCACAGTAATTTTACAAGGTAGGAGGATTTACCCTAATATTACTTCAGATGTGTAGAACCTAATATCAGAAATACTTAAGTGATTTGCCTAAGACACAGAGTGAGGGAATAGAAAAACATTTTTTTAAAAAAATGATTAGACTTTATTTACTTTGAAAGCTAATTTCCAACAAATGTTAATGGAAATCTGCTTTGGAATGAGATGTAAATAATACGCTTTTACTATTTTTTCTTGCCTTTATCATGCGTAGGAATTCAACCTTATTGATAGAAGAGAACTTGCACCACTCCAAGAACTGATTGAAAAACTCACCTCAAAGGACAGATAAAAGGACACAGAGCTGTGCAAATTGTTCCTCAAATGAAGTGTGTGAAGAGTATTTGGATTTTGTTGTGTTTTATTTTTATATCGGTCGTTTTTTGTCTTAGGTTTGGGGGACTTGTTTGGGTTTCTTTTTCTTTATTCTGAGCAAATGAAACCATATTCTATTGCTAAAGAAGCCAAGAACCATTCTCTCTATATTTGATAGGGGTAAGTTTTGTCTTATTAGCATATGATGTTTGGTTTTTTGTTTTTTTACTTGGTTTGCTTACTTGCAGAATTTTTGATAATACTGTGTGCTAACAGAAAACGCTTGCTGATTGGACTGCTGACGGATGGGGGTTCTGTATTGTGTAAATTGTGGCCAATTTCTGAAGTCCCCAAAAGACTTATGTTTTTAAGTGCCTTGGTAGGCTCACTTCTGAGGTGCAAAGCACAGACATAGAACTGAACAGGGCTTGAACAATATTAGGATTACTACCCAGGGCACTTACTGATGCATGTTTTAAAATATCTATGATAAAAGCCATAGTTTACCTAAATTGGTGATCTCAGCTTTTACTACATTGAAGAAACACAATTTGTAAAGGTGTGCATGTAGAACATACAAAATTAGTATTTATTAATTATTTTTGATATTGATGGTAATTCTGTTCAACAAATGCTTAAAGTTCTACAAGCAGGTCTTTTTTCCATCTCTTGGTATCTGTGATATTGAAACTTGAGGATGTTGAAGTGTAATACCTATTGCATTTTAGCTTCTTTCTACATGTTAACTGCACTCTAGGTGTAAAAATTCAGGTTATATATAGGTTTGCCATCTTCAGAGGTGATGCTGAACTGTGAGGTTTCTTAGCAATTGCCAAATGAGCCATAAGTCTAGAGAATTCCCTTCTACTTTGAAGAGGAGGGGATGGATAGGAGTGTGTGTTTGGTTGGGAGGGTTTGTTTGTATGGGGAGCTATAGATGGGATTAAGTATGGTGAGTCAGTTCAAAAAGTCTTGTCTTAAAATCCTTGAGTAGAGTGGCATGACGTTTTTAACCAGTTTCTTGTAAACAAAGTCTTAGAGACTTCCTTCTTTTAGGAATCAACTTCCATGAGAAGTTAAACATAAATTATTAATTTTAGGTTTAGACATTAAACATGGAATTTAAGGACTGTTTGGGGGAAATTGATCACTCTCTAGCATTTCCATTCAGTGAATGGAGCCGATGTTTGCCTGTCATTTTAAAATGATACAGTACCCTTCTTTGCTTATGATAGGCCCAATTTGAAGCATTCTGACTTCTGATTTTTCCACTGTGAAAGGAAATCTTTTTCTTTGCAGTGATACAAAACAATGTAAGTGCTAATTCAATAGTTGTTTTTACATTTGATTTTATCATGGCTTTCTAGTGAATTATTCCCATAAGTAAAAAGTTCAGAAAGTTAGTTTTTAAAATAATTTTAACATTTTTCACTTCAATTTTAGTCTTTTTAAAAAAAGTTTTTTTTTAATGTTTTTATTTATTTCTGAGAGAGAGAGAGAGAGAGAGACAGCGTGAGCAGGGGAGGGTCATAGAGAGAGGGAGGTACAGAATCTGAAACAGGCTCCAGGCTCGTAGCTAGCTGTCAGCGCAGAGCCCGATGCGGGGCTAAACCCATGAACCGTGAGATCATGACCCGAGCCGAAGTCAGACGTTTAACCGACTGAGCCACCCAGGTGCCCCCGATTTTAGTTTTGAGAAGTATCTTTTTCAGACTTTGTTTTAATTTTGTCATTTCTGGTAAAATCTCATTCCGTCAGTTACAGATATATATATATTCTTCCTTTAGTTTAAAATACATACCTTTTTCCTTGTGGAATAGAAATCTCGCTTTCAAATTATATATAGACTAAGAATGGTCAGTAGGAAAGAATCTAAAATTAAATCAGTCTGTCTTTGCCATTAACAAGGAGAGCAGTGATATAATTTAATGCCATTGTAGTTACGATGACTAGGAACTGCCTTTTTCTCCATTTTATTTCTAACAATCATTCTCCAAGTACCAACAGTAGAAGTAATGGGAGAGCCTGGCAGAGGCAAGTATGTTGGACGTTCATTGGTAATGTTTATTGATAAACTGCAATGAGGAGTAACTGATTTCCTTAAAACAAATCTTTTATTATCCAGATAGGTAATATCAACCACTGTAGGTTGATTCAAAAATAAAATTTGGCTTCAAGTGATTTGGGGTCCTATTTATTGATGAAAATGAAGCACGTGATAATTCTAATAGTCTTCCATACCGAGTTGGACTTTGTATCAACTTAGTAACAAAGGGGCTGCAATAGCCAAGTGTAGAAAATAGTGAAAAATTGTTCTTGCTCTTTTAAGCCTTACACAGTAGTACACTGTAAAAGTGGAAAAATGTTTCTATAAATTAATGTTTAGTACGAGGCCCTACTTTCCTACTGTGTGTAGATAGGAGTTTGTTGTCTCTGTGTCAGAATCTCAGGTGCCTGCTTCTGAGTATTCCTTTCAACAGAGGTGTTATTAGGAAGTGAGGAGATGTGTACGTGTGTGGGGTAACAAAGTAGAGAAGTTCTCCCAGGGAGAGGCCTGGCATTGTACATGGTGTTGCATGGCTACAGGTAAGGAAACACCCACCAAAGCATGTGAGAAATAATCAATTTAACAAAACTGTTGCTTTGATTTGGTTAGTTCCCATGAGGATTAATAAGATGACCTTTATAAAATAAGGATCAAATCCTGGTTTTGTAGCAGTTTGCTTATAAATATGTATGATAAGAGATTTCCAGATCTCTTAATTTAATTTATAAATAACCGAGATAATGATTTTCCCCCTTGTTCTTTATACAGAGATTTAAAGCAGAAGTTGGTTTTCTCACCTACTAATTAAAGCATAAAATATCAAGTAGTAAGTTAACATAGTATTATTTTGAAATGAAGCAAGTTTTAGGAGTTCCTTTAAATGATGGAGTAATGTTGGTGAAGAGAAATTAATAACCAAGAGTGAAAATCTTTTAGTAAGCAGTAGATGGTGCTACTGGCTTTCATTTGCTGACTTGATTGTTCTGTTTCCCATAAAAACCATGACATTAGACTTCATTAAAACAGTAAGCATGTTTTAGTTAGCTGGTAGAGGCTTTGGAGGTCAATTTACTTTACATTTGAAAGATTTTAGATTGTTCTTTCTACTTTTGTCATTTATAAATTCTAAAGGGTGAGCATAAAATGTGTTAGGTGGGAGAAGACAGGTTTAGTATATAATATATCTCAGACTGAGTTACTGCCTGGCTTATTAGGAAAGGTAAAACACTACAATCTCTTATCTTCAGGAAATACAGATGATGTGGATATTTATATTTTACATGTAATCACAAGACTCCATTTTATGTATTAGCATTTTCCTTGCTTATGGGAAAATAGCAAAATGACATTTCTATTATACCTTTGTGTACACCCTCTCTGAGAGAGGTTTTGATAACCACTGAAATGTTGAAACGTGAGATACAATTATTAAGTTGTAACAGGACTTTCTTTTCAAATAAGTGTGTCATACCTGAAACATCCAAATGAGAGTTGATCTTCAAAGTGGATCCTGTTGGGAGCACTACTTTTTCTAGCTATGCTTTGAAGGTGTAATGTGCTTGGAACATTTTCAGAAATGCCTTGAGAATTGGTTTATGACTGTGCAAGAAAATCTATTTCATCATTTTAGTTGCACCGAAGACTTTTTTGGCAGCTTGATATGGCCTAGCTCATTCACCAAACCAACTCTACTTTGCTGTTTTCTTAGAACTAAACCATTAGAGAAGTTCAAAAGACTGCCATAGGCCCCGAATTTGCAGAAGAGAATGTTTTGAGCATTGGTTGCACCATTTAATAAAGGAATAGTTTCCTTTGAAGTAGACAGTATCACTTGGATGTATAGGTTTTATTTAATTTTCACAAATTTAGTTTAATTACCTTATTTGTTAAATATAATAATTAAAAAATCAAAGTCTATCTCTTGTTTCCTACTTTTGTTCCTTTCCTTGATAGCTTTTGAACTTTATCTCAACTACTATAGGATGATTCTGATTGAAGGGATAGTAAGAAAAAATGGATCCAATATTTAATATAGAAGTAGCTTAAGGTGACAAAAGCCTTTACATTTGTCTTTTTTTTTAAACACTCAAATGAGAAGACTTCAGATCATTGTACAAAGACATTGGAGTAAGTTTTATATAATAATTATGCTGAATGTTAAGCCTGTGTATCACAGATAAAATGTTTAAAATTGTATAATCATTTCATATATCATTTATAACTTTAAAAATTTTGAATGTCTTTTTAAAAGATAGGGGACCATAAATATATTTGTAATTTGAAAATGTAACCACATACCAAGGGGAAAAGTTATTTTGAAACCTATCTGAAATATTAAAGAATATGCCAATATTTAGAAATGCTATTCTAGATCTATACTTTAAAGAACCACTCCTAAAATAATTTAAATAGTAGAGTTTTGTCATAATGTTCAGATTCACCCATAGTAATTACTGTTTTTCAGTTTAATGGTGTATGATACTAATATTTAGAGGTAAAGATATCTTAAGATTTAATGGAAAAGTTTAATTTTAAGGTATAGTTACAATTCTGATTACAAACAATTTAAAAATTTCAGACATTCCTAACCAGTTAATCATAGAGAATAATTTATTTTAAAGGTATTCTATGTTCCATGTCTGCCACTTATAGCTGAACAAAACTTAAATTTTGAGAAAAGAGGAAATATGTATTAAAATACTGAATAATCTCAGTTTTGTAAGTACGACTCAAGTTCCTTTTCTGTGTGCAATGTTATATAATAGAACATTTTGGATTACAATTCTCAAAGATAGATAATGAAATCACTGGCCTCTTTTAGTTCTGTTGACTTATCATCTCCTTCTTAAATTACTTCCTTGCACCATTGACTTCCCACCTCTCAGCCTCCATTGCACTAGGAGAACAAAACAGCTGGGTTGATTGTGCAGGTCCTCGTTGTTAGTGGTTCTGAAGCACTTTCTGTAATCCACTGACAGAAGTGTTGGAAGGTGCAACTTACATAAGCATTTTTGATTTGTTCCGGTTGACTGCTTTCTTGAAGTTATGTCGCTGACGCTGAGATTATTAGTAATTTAAGATTTTTGTTAATACTTAGTTTTTCTTCTGTGTATTAAATTCTTATGTGTTGGTGTTTCTTACAGGTGTGTACATATTTTCATTTTTGTTTTCTGAGATAATAGATTAGTGCACTTCCATATTAAGAACACATTTCTCCTTACATTGTTCTGCAGAGATAACTATTTTTAGGGGAAATAGTTTTTTACAGTCACTAAATTGTATTTCTTATTTTTGTACATGCATAACTAAGGTGGTAAGGGCCCTAATCTTGTAGGGAACACTTAACTTTTGTTCTATTTGAATTTTTCCTATACATTATTACTTAAAATTATCAAGGAACAGTGTCATGAAATCTAGGTTGAGACAGTACAATAAACATGGCAACTTTTAAAGTTTGAATAGGAA